GAACCCGGGCATTACCAAACCTCAACAAATTTCCGCATGTCACTGCTCCCAACGCTCTTTTTTTGAAAACTTCGGACTGATTTTTTTTAATATCCCGTCACTTCACGACACAGACGATCAAAGCCTTGTAGAAAGTAATGTTCCCTGATCACTGTGATAATTCAAATGTTCTTTTCTGGGTGAAAACGACGAGGACATCAGCAGGAACTATTAATAATTGAACTGATTTTATCAGTGTTTTTATCAAGAGTTGGTTTACCAAATTCAAACAATGCTCGTCTGAGATGAAATATTAAAATGGGTTCAGTTTCTTGTAATTGAAAAATGTTCGGATGATTTCAGTCATTTTTTTTTTCTCCGTTTTATGTCCGCTTTTTCGAATTCCGGATAATCGATGTACGGATAATCGATGGAAGTACTGTACACCGAGCGTACGGAACGAGGTTTTTAACCCCGATGCTACAACGAATGAAGAAAAGTCCGGGTCATGGTGACGTACATAAATAATGCACAGATAAATCAAAAAAGCACGTGGCTTATTTTATAAGTTAGATGAATTCACTGAAATATTTTCTTTCACTTTGCTACGAACACCTAGCTCGAGACAAAGAAAAAAAAAACGAATAGGAAAAAACAATGTCAAACTTTGAGTAGAAAGTAAATGAAAAAGAAAGAATTTATATTGACATTGATAAAAGGGAAAAAATACCAGTCTTGAAGAGCGTAGAGAAAGAAATAATCTTTTGTCCCGGTCAACATGACCGCATCTGCTGTTTCATTCAAATCCTTCAAGGGTAGGATGACAAAGAGAGAAGGAGAAGTGAGAGAAAGTGCAGGCAAACCCTACTCTTTCTCACCCTCCCTCCCTCCCTCCCTAACTATATTCTTTTTTTTTTTTTGCTGAAGTGCCTTGGTCATTTTTCAATGAAACGAAATTAAATATACAACAGAATTATTGATAAATTATTTTATTATCTTTAATATTTCATTTTTTTTTTATTTGATACTTTTTCAAAAGTTTTGAAAATTAAATTCGATTTTCCGTTTGTTTCCGAAAGCGGGTTCCATCAACCCCGATAAATATGTTCTACTTTCAACACCCGTTGAAAACCGAGTAGGTGTGGCTCAGTAGAAGAGCGTGGGTCTCTAGTAGTCAGAGCTTTTATCCTCGGCGTCTGTGACACAAGTTATAACAACTTTTCAGAGATGCAGGCAAAAATCTGGATTTCTCCAAATTAAGATAATAAATGGTATTTCCTTGTTTTTCAATAAAATATTTTTGAGAACAACGAAAAGCTTTACAATTTACATGCTTTCCATAAAAAGGGATTACTTTTAAAAATGAAAAAGATTTGATTTCAAACTACATCCAACTAAGGGATTTTTTGTATTTGCTGTAAAAAATCTTCCATATTTTCGTACGAGATTTAATCTCTTTCTCTCGAAAAGTGGGAAGAAATGATAACTGAATGAGTGGATAGATTTTTGTACGACAGTGTGTATGATTACGTGGAGAAACAATAATACTCAGACTTAGTGAGTTCGACTATTATTCAGGGACTCTATACTTGTGAACTTGAATAAAAAATTAGTAAATAAATATTCAGATTTTTTATTGATGTAATTTAATTAATACGATTTATTTAATTAATGCCAGTCTCTGATAGCTTTCTTTGGCTCTAAAAAACTCCCATCCCCCTTTTATTTTTTTGAAAGTGGGTGGATGAACCGTTTCCTTCAGCCTATTTATACTATCAGAGCTAAAAGCAGACAGCTGCCTAAAAGCAAAGGTGTGCGAGAGTGGGGGTCACTCTTGGGGTTTGCACAGACAACATTCGAATGTTTCTTTGAGAAAACCCTCCTAAAAAATGGTTCTCGCTCTCGACTCCGATCATCCTTTCTTCTTTTTTTTCTTCTCTCTCTCTCTCTATCTATCTATCTATCTATCTTACTCTTCTTGTCATTTCGTTAAAGTATTTTACAGCTTCTCTTCTTAGACGACGCCCATCACGAGTTCCTTTTCTTCCCTTTTTCAATTCTTATCTCTCCCATTTATTCTCTCTCTCTCCCCCCTCGCTCTCTCTTCCTCTAATTTTTTTCTTTTCAACTATTTTTATCGACTGATGAAAAAAAAGAAAAACTCTCCAAAGATAAAGATACCTTCTATAATTTGAAATAAGAAGAGTCATAACCATTGACATTCCAAAAGTTATTTACTAAACTTAGCTTTAGCACAAGGCCACACGTAGGAAACACCTAGTGAAGAACAAACTCACTATTCAGTAGTAATTGTTAGCCATTACTTCATCTTGAGACACCATACAAAAAATAAGCTTAGTTTAGTTTTGAGTTTTGACTAAATAAGAAACAAACTCATTATTCAGTAGTAATGGTCAAGCAGACGAACTCGTTAACCATTTCCTCACCCCTTTGATATTCCAACAGTTGATCAGACTATGGGACTCATTTTCTGTTGTTTTGAATGTTGTGCTAGTATGGATGTTCACGTAACTTAGTGATTATCGGTTTGGCAAGTGGTCTGGGCGAAAACAGTTCAAATTCCAACAGCGATTGTAGCTTTCGCTTTTGTTCAAATACCCTTGGAAAGGTAGGAATCTATGTCTTGGAAACCGATCTTGGAGAAGCACAATTCTGAATTTAAAACCCGTAAAAAAAACTACTTGCTCCAGAAGCCACATCAGCTACGTCTAGCTTGGTAAAGCTGTGGCCCTTGGCTCCACGGAGGAGTCTACAGAACTTACATCATCAACAACGTTTATATTATTTTCTTTTCTGTTCACTACCATTTTCTAAAAAATAGAGGCCCTTTTTTCTACTCTTACCTGAAGAATGTAGAATTGACCGAAACGCTGTAGTAGCAGCAAAAAAAGAACATACAAAAAGAACGAATTCAATAGTCCGAATATCTTTGAGAATCGCCAATGTCAGATCGTCTATCGGGGCAGACGAAAGGATATTTTTCCGTTATGAGCCTGTGAAAGAAAATTAAATATCAAAAGAAAATATATAGGAAAATATTGCTAAAGGGAAAATACTCGTATCGATTCTGTGTTATAAATAAATCTGTGTATGGCGTGCCTCTTGGCTTAGTTAGTTTTGTATATACCCCGGACGTCAATGTCCAGAACACGAGTCTAGATAAAAGGTCAGAATTTTGAAGTCTGATTTTCAAGGTAGGTATATTCTTTTACTTAAAATATCGATGCAATATAATCTTAAATGTCACAAGCGATTCTTCGAATGTGAAAGTTCCTATTAATACTCATGGTTAACTCATAACTGTCACTCTCCGGTAAAGAAGAGGAAAATAAATTAAAACCAAATCATTCAATTTTATACTGATTCGAAGATGTTGGAACTTCCCGAAATAATATCTTCAGATGATTCATACTTTTTTTTATTGACGCTAAAGCATAGCTTATTACGACACAAGGTCAAAGTGGGGAAAATTTGTAGGGTGGGGGATAGGTAAATTTCGTTGTGTCTATCCTATAAGCAATATCTACTTCTCTTCGTCGTGAAAATGGAAATTTGAAATCATGGTTTCTTTCTTAAGTTTTAATTATTCAAACGCTGTCCACTGATGTTAACGAGAAAATCACATCTTTGCTGCTGGATACAAGTTATTTAAAAAGCTGATTGGTTTGTCTGGCAAAAGACCACCGTAATGAGGAAAGAGGTGAGGAGTAAACATAAAGTACAAGCTATTATGGTTGCGAGACATACTTGACAGCTATCGCACTGCAGTATGCACCCTATTTTTATTTACATTATCCTTACAAAAAGATCTCATGTATAGATTTATGTTTACGATTGTCACAAAGGATCCATTTCTAATCACAAGTCACTATTCGGTCAAAAAATGGATCATTGGAATTTCAGATACAGCATCGAACACACTTCAAAACTGCTGCCAATCATTATCTGAAGACATTTTTCTGACACTTTGACATGGGTTTTGCTTGTCTAGAGTTTTCAGATGTTGATTGTCAATTGTAGACGGACGTCTTCTACCACCTTGAATTTCAAGACTCATATCCTCACTGCAGAAACCAGCTCCATACTGTCCGATCAAAAGTGGATCCTTCAACCCCTTCCCCTGTTAACGTTGACAGAAGTTTGAAAAGCATTATGACCAAACCTGAACTCATTGAAGTAACCGCATCTCTCTTTTTTTCATGTTCAAGATGAGCCGTATATAATGTTTTAAGTTAAATCCTGAAAGATACTGATATAATAAGTAACAAAAAGAACACTTTACTCATTAGGAATGAGTAATAAATCTTTGTGAAACTATTATAATTTATATATTACAAAGCAATTAAAAGGTTTATTCTAAAATATGACATTATCTTCTGAATAAAATTAATATACAGCGTGTTGCAGCAAAATCCGACACTTGACAACAAATAAACGAAATAGGCAATAAAAACAAAAGTTGTATATGCAGAGGCCCAACAGTTTATTTAGCAACAGAGTTTCATACTACATTATTTTTCAATGTAACCGCCGCCGGCGGCGACGACAATCTCAAGGCGGGCGCGAAATGAGTCACACGCTTTGGCGACCATGTCCTTGTCCATAGCGGCGAACGCCTCCACGATGGCAGCCTTTAGAGAGTCGACCGTATTGTGGGCGTGCTTGTTGGTCTAGGCCTCGATCACGCCCCAGAAGAAATAGTCAAGGGGTTTGTAGTCGGGTGAGGAGAGCGGCCACAAGTCCGGTGACCAGTGGTGAGGAACATTGTTGAGCTGTCACGCCTGGGTCGCCATGGCCTTGTGTGCAGGAACGAAGTCCTGCTGGAAGACGTAGGGGCATCCGGCGGCGATCTCGTCCATCTAGGGCTTCACCACGCTCTTCAGCACCTCCTGGTAGATCTCAGCGGTGACTCTCAGGCCCTTTTGAAAGAAGAACGGGGACATGACGTCCCTCTCGCTGGAGATGACGCCAAGGACCATGACGGAGGAGGGAAACTACGTATGCTTCACAACGGGAACCTCGTCGATGTCTTTGCAGATCCACCTGTCGTTCTGACTGTTGTTCGTCTGGTCCTGGATGAAATTCTTTTCATCCAGGACCAGAACCTCAGCATCCCGGCCGACCCGTGCTTGAGTTCGTTCAGCAAAGCCGCCGCCTTGACCTTCCTCGAATCTATGGAGGCATTTGTGATGAGCATGCGGTGTGACTTGCAGTAAGAGGAGTAACCAATGTACTTCTTGATCGTTCGGCAGATCGTCGATTTGTGACAGCCCATGTCAGCGGCGATCTTGGTGTAGCTCTGGGATTATGGTTTTTATTGCCTATTTCGTTTTCGAAGTGTCGGATTTTGCTACAACACCTTGTATATAAGTTCACAATATTTATCGTAGATCGAATCGGAGATTCGTGATTTTCTCACTCGTGATATCTCGGATAAAATCGGTTGTACTTAGGAATGTCTACTTGGTTTATTTTATTCTGTTCAAGTATAATTTCACGTATAACATTAGGGTCGTAGTTGTAGTGGTGCTTCATGGGTAAGACAGACTGACGGAGCCCAACCGTCTCTAGTCTGGCTTGAATTCAGTCTTTTCCTTCTCCAAACAAGGCTATAGGACCCAATCTGTCCGGCTATTTACCCATATCTGGGGGAGAAGAGATGGATTTATACCTTTCCCAGGAATAAGTGAATATAATAAATTCAAACTATCCATTATTCCTTCTCATCTTTGTCTCTTTTCTCTCTCTCTCTCTCTCTCTATATATATATATATATAATTATTTATTTAAAAATATGATTCCAACACGCTACATAAGAGGTCTCATGTTTCAAAACAAGAGCCGAAAACTTCAATATAATTATTTGAATTAAATTGAATTAAAGTAAGCTCTGTTCCATCTTCAGTTCTTTCCTATTTTCTATATATTTTCACACACGCACACACACACACACACACATATATATATATATATAATAGCAATTTTCAGGCCTAAAGATTGCGTTCTAGCATTAAACAGATTATCGCCGCTCTGTGTTGACCTCAATGTCCACTCCTATATTTACATATGCACTCTCCCTTTTACCCATATATATATATATATAGAGAGAGAGAGAGACGCGTATATAATTTTTGTCGACAATCAAGACAAAATAAATAATTTTAATCTTTATATTTTGTAAAAATTGTCCAGTTTTGGAATGTTACTTAGAGGCGCAGCAAATTCTATAACCGCCTAGGCGGCACAAACGCTGTATTTATCTATCTATCTATATATACATATATATATTATAAATTAATTGATTTAAAATATATATATTAAATTTTAATACTGTTAAATAAAGTTCGGTGTAAATAAATAAATATTATAATCGTCTAGACTTGTATTCTCCACGTGCTTTTTGAGAAAATTGTAATACTTCTATTTTTAGAATTAGCGGTTAAAGAGCCACCAAAATTATTTCTTCTTTGTGAATTATTGCGGTTTCATTTTTTTTTTCATTTTTATTTATTTTTTGTATTTAATGACCTATCAAACGACGTGGTCTCAATCCTCTTGAAAATTTTGGAATTATGTTCATTGGGAGCCTCCCGTTTTCTTATAAAAGGAGACTGACCCGCTGTTAACGCAGAAAGCACTTACACTTCAAGGCATAAGGAAGTGTCAAAGCAGAGGGGGCGAGGGAGACATAAATCACTGTGGAGAAAGAAAGACGAGCGGACAGTAAAATATCTCCGAGAGACAGTTACAAGTCTCAGAAGGGTAAACCACTTGAGCTGCTCCCAGAAAAGTATTGAACTTTTCAGTAAATGAAAAACATAAAGACCGTAACACCAACCAGATCAAACCACAAAAAAACTCCCTTCGTGTTGAGATTTTTCCGTCGTAGGAATTAGGGGGGGGGGCATTTTTATATTTTCTGCATTATGTAATTTTTTATTTTTTATTTTCATTTTCAAAAATTGTAATCTTTTTGTCATGTATATTTGATTTGATATCCATAATTAGTTTTTGTATAAAAGGAATTTTTTGTGCAACCTTTTTTTGTATGTACATATTATATTTGATGTTTTTTTTTTATTTACTGTAATAAATACATGTTCTTTTAAATTTCACGTAGTGATTGAATCTTATTTGCTGGGTCTTGTTCAACCTTAAGGATAGAGAGGTTACGTGTTCTCTTTTCCCATTCTATTCCTACTAACTAAATTTATATATATATATATATATATATATATATATAGATAGATAGATAGATAGATAGATAGATAATATTAGTGGTTAATACACGCACACACAGACACACACACACACATATATATATATATATATATATATATATATATATATAGATAGATAGATAGATAGATAGATAGATAGATAGATAGATAGATAGATAATATTAGTGGAAGAGGATAGAATCCAGGTAGAACTCAATGTCCAGGGCAGAGTAATAATATATTAAAAGGCTTAAACACTAATATTCCATGGTTATAATTTATTACATTGGAATGGTAATTACGATCCAATTCATCAAACATTTGGATCGTAATTATGATTCCAATGTAATAAATTATAAACTATGGAATATTAGTGTTTAAGTTTTTTTTTATATATATATATATATATATATATATATATATATATATATATATATATATATATATATATGTGTGTGTGTGTGTGTGTGTCCGAAACGGATGGATATGTATCTGCGCTTAGCCTCGGATTGTTTATATGGATGTGTTTGTATGAAGTAAAATGCGTACACCTGCATGTATGTGTGTCTATGCGTATGAAAGTGTCACCCCAAACAAACACAGTAGTAGATTCCCCACCCACCACCAAACATAGTCAAACAAGCATAAACAGATGCAATTTTAAAAAAATAAACCAGTTTGCCTGATGATCATAAAAAAACGTGAAACCCAACGTCACAAACTCATATCCATACAACTGAATATATATATATATATATATATATATATATATATATATATATATATAATGCTAGCAAGAAGGATTCATCTTGTTATTACTTTATAACTCAATACTACCATGCTGCAATGAGATGAAGAAAGATGGGCCTTTCCTATTAGCTCCCTCCTCTTTACCCACTGAATAGCTATGAAAGATAAGATTTCAAACCCTGATAGACCAGTTGACATTTTTCTTCAGTCATATACATTTACTATGTACATACATACATACACCGTGAATCAATAGTTAGCAATATCGTCTGATAAATCATTACTTCTACAGTGTGTTCGATCCTCACTAGGTCTCTCACACTTGTGACCTCATGCCGGACAGAGATATAAACTATTCTTTGGTAATGCCATGTCCCTTTAGAACGTAGGACGTCATAATTCTCAACAAATTCCTTTTATTCATTATCTATAAATTGTCATTGGGAAAGATAGGGGAGTGGTTTGCCGTTGCCTTCTCGAATGTTATAAATTCAGAATATTCCTTCTTCTAGACTGACTGCTAGCCAAGGCTAAAGAGCCCAGTCTACTTGTTATTTAAGCTGGGATGAGAAGAAATAGATTCATGTCTTTCCTAAGGGCGAAAGTGAGTGCAGCAAAGTAGACCAGAATTTGAACCCAGTTCGCCGATCTATGGAGCTTAGATAAAAAAAAAAGGCTAAAGATGAAGACGATTTTCTCTCTCATGCACGCTCATCGTTACATTATTTACAATCTTTGTAATTTCGTCAGCGTGAATGTTATTGTTATATCTGTTCTTTTTCTTTTTTTATGTTCTGTCTGCCACTATCGTCAATAGATCGATACCTTTTCTTTTGCGTTTTTATTGTCTACTCTCAGTCCTCTGCCATCATTATCATAGTTGTGACATTGTCCATCTATATTAGTTTCGCTTGCCTGTCTTTATCTGCTTTACCTGCCTATTTGCTTACCTCGATTACTCGCATGTACTCCGATGTTCGTGTTTCTGTAGAAAAGGAAGAACAAGGTGTACTCGTTGCTGTCGTAGTCGCAATGTTAATAGTGGCGGCAACAGCATCACTATAATCAGCACTATCATCATCTTCAGAAGCTTTAAGCATCAACCTCCCTGACTGATGATAAGGAGAGCTATCGAGTTACACAGCGCATGGTTTTGTATCTGCCGAAGAATACGAGACACGAACAGTCATTCTCACTAGCAGACAATCTCGCCACAATCAGATACCGAACCTCGGCCATATTATTGCCTGTTCCGTTCTTTTTAGCCATTACAACCTTTATTTTCGACCGTCTCCCAGGTAAGATTTTATCATTATTTTATATTTGCTTTTTTCGACATTGCTTTTTTATAGAGTTGTAATTGTTGTATTATTCAGTGTTTGTTTGTTTTTTTAACATTATTTTATTTTAAAACAACCTTTTTATTATCTATTTTTATTATTATTATTATTATTATTATTATTATTATCACCATCTTTTCCATAGCTTCTGTTTTTCCTTTGTCTTGATTTTATAATGTGGGGAAGATTCGCCGAAAATTTAAAAACGATGTGTCTTGTCTTGAATTTGAAAGAAGAAGAGTTACTTTTCCTTCCCTTTAAAATGCTTTTTTAAGTCTTAATTTAGCAATGTTGTAAATAATTTTGTTAATTATATTTTTAAACAGTGATTAATTTTATTTCTTATCTTATTAGCACTGTCATTGTGAGATTAAGACAATAAATGAACAAAATATAATAATTTCATCACTAAACAACCCTTTTCTCAGGCCTTTCAACATTCAGCTCGGCTCGTTAGGTCAACTCATACTGCATCCTCGTTTTCTCGTGTGTACTAAAAATTTTGAATCGTATTTTGATGGAGTTTTATAATTAATTACATTTGTTGTTCGAACTATGTTCGAATGAATTCACTTTTTATTCAATTTCTAGTGCTTTTTGTTTCTCTTTTAAATTTTTATTTACTGCGTGTTGTCGACTGACAGGTGAGGCTTTGCTACTACGTCTCCTAATTTTACCGGTATTTTTTTCTTACAAAGTCTATTCACAAGAAAACAAATAGAAACATTTTTGGAGGTTTACGTGTACAGTGTACACGCCATGTGCAACTGTGTACCTAACGTGTCATCTTACATAAAAAGTGTGTATCGCAGGGGTATCGGATCTTTACAAGACTGATCAATCACTCAAGAAACGAGCGGAGTATGTGCTTCACAAAGGTTAAGTGATGACAAGACGAAATGGGTGCTTGAAACCTTGTATTTTCTCTCGCACACACTCTTTTTTTTATCTTATTCACGCAATTGCTCGCTTCATTTCATTTTTGTGAGATGAGCTTTACGAAGGATCGACTGTAAAAGAAATGTTTGTTTATACAAACTAGATGAGAGTCTTCTTTTCTTTAAAAGTGAAAAGCTTACCATTTTTACAGAAGACTTCAAAAAGCATATTCTTTTAAAATTCAAGTATTTACATTTACAATTTACTTTAATGAATGAATCAAGAAGGGTAATTTACAAATTGCATATGTAAGCTATGTTTACTTGTTTTTTAGGACAAAGTAAATAGGCCATAATTACTGTTTGATGGATGTCATTAATTGCTTTTTTTTGTTTTTTTGATTCCCACTTTCAGATGAGGGGCGGGTTTAGAGATCCTTAAACTGTAACCATAAAATTTGTTTTTGCTTTATAGTTTTAATTTCGTCGGCGAGATGTCATATCTGATAAATAAATAAGATTATTATAAATTCTAAAATAAAACTCCATGTTTATTGTTTTAGTGTGAGAAATTAAAAAAAATCTCTAAAGTTAAAAAAAACAAAAAAACTTCCTTATTAATTCGCTCGCTAAATTATTATTAAATCCGACAAAAGCTGGATGCGTTATTATAAAGCTGCAACAAAAATGTGTTATTTTTTGTTGCAGCTTTATAATAACCCTAAATAAATTGCATAATTGATTTTAAAACGTCACGGTTTGTTAGAAACACACGCTCCGAAATGAACGCACCTGAGACAAGCTGAAGCACGATGCATTTTTACAACTGCTAATTATTGAAGAGCATTTTTTCACAAGTAATCTTTTTTCTTTCTTTAATTTACTTTATTTTTAAAAAACGAATGTTATGTATTTCTTTAACATTTTGTTGTCGGTGAAGAACACTGACAGCAATTTTTTTTTTCTTTTTACGATATATTTGAACATTAAGAAATGCCGGTTCAATGGTTTGAAATTCAATACGCAAAGCAAAAATCTTGCTTTCTTCTATCTACTACTGAAGAATCTGTAATAAAAATATTTACTTAATGTTTTACTTTTTGCTATACACTTTATAAATGATTCTCTCAAGTAATGTTTATTTAAAAAATAAAAAGAGGAAGAAAAACCGTTTCTTTTAGCGGTGATAAGAGTAAAAAAAAGAAACAGTATTTCTTGACGTCTTTCCCCAAAGCGTGACTCACTCTGCACTTTAATTTTTTTTATTCTTAGGCCGCTAAACACTAACTAAAAATATTAACAATATGCTTCATTTTATTTTTAGATAAAATATTTTTGTTTTTTTTTTCTACTTAAAAAGAAAATAATTGGAAATAATATTTTTAATTGTTGTAATATAGAGAATTCTACCTTTGTTTACGATACAGCATCGTATTTTGACTAAGCTTTTTAAAATCTTCCTTTTCCTCCAAATTTCAAAAATCCGTTTCTTTAGTCATTTTTAAAAAAAAACTTTCTTTTGTAATGTAATTGCAAATTTCCTTTTTCACTGGTTCTGTTTTCAAAAGAACTTCCTTTTCTTATTTTATTTTTTTAAGCTATAATTTAATTAAGTCTTTATTTCCCCCTCCTTAATACTACTACTGTGTAAATTAGTGTACAGTAACCCCGTTCGTATCTTCTCGTGTCTGTTTTTAAAAGTTCCTTCTCTAACACGAGAAAGATTAAAAATCCGAGAACTGCTGTAGTAACAACATCCAACATCTGTAATTTTTTTTTCTCTCTCTCTCTCCATCTTCACGTGTTCAACGTTGCCTTTGTTTTCGGATTGCTTCCTTCAACTACATTTTTACCAGATTTCATAAACGAAATCCTTCTTCAATCTAGAAATACTCTCTGACGGCCGCAATAACATAAATAAAAACTTTAATTTAATTATTAGAAAGAAAAGAAAAAAATGAAAAATTTTGATCAAACCAGAAATAACATTTTTGCAAATATGTTTTTTAAGGGGGGGTGTTCCGTTTTAGCAGAAAACATGTTTGTCGTTTTACGACAAGAAGGTGGTTATCAGCAAATATTTCCATTATTACTTTATTTTGTCTTAATATTAGTTTTTACTTTCTTAAGAAGCATTTGAGATATTCTTTCCTCGTGCCTTACACTTACTCTTCTTAGGCGTCTTCAATCAGAGAGAGAGAGAGAATGAGAATGAATATGCCAAGTCTTTTTTGTTCCTTTTGCTTTGCAATAAGGCCTGGTATAGAATTGTCTTCTTTTTTTTAAATTTTTTTTTTTATTTTAATACCCTCCTTTCCTTTGTTACTTCCGTGTATTCATATTTCATAGTAAGTTATGAAAAAAAAATATATGAAAAGTGCGAAAAAATAAAAAATATATTTTGAAGAAAAATTGTTCTGTGAAATTACTTTATTGGTTTATTCAAAAGAAGACACATTTTTTTTTCTTTCCCAGACAATAAGAAAAACTTGTGGTGTATTTTCCACGTTTAAAACTTGGGCCCCAAAACAAAAAGATGCATGCCACATATGAGGGCTCTGAAAAGGTTTATCGAGCCTTATACACTGTACACTACAGTGAAGAGTCAGAGTAGTAGACAATAGTCTTCTTAAAAAAAAAAAGCATTTTTAATTTTAATTAATAACATTTTTAATTTAAAAGAAAATGAAAAGTAAAAGACTCAGGGAAAAATGCAAAATTTGAAAATATCAGTCTCAGATTCCGAAAACTGTCGACATCAGTCAACGATGCCAACAAAACATTGGAAACAAAAGAAATGGTTTTGATCACAGCCGGTTTTTGTTTCTTAGTCATCATTCTAACAAGTGATTGTGAATAAATACGAACTTTTAGGGAGAGAAAAAAACTATTGACATCGCCACATACGTCGTTAAGGTCAGTCTCCATATAAAAATTCAGTTTTCTCAAAAAACGAACGAAGGTAAGTTATCCGCAAGAACAACTAAAAAACGACAAACTTTTTTTTTTAAGAGAAAAAATAATTCTTTGAAGAGATATTTTGTTAAAAATTACTGCTATATTGTCAAATGTCAATCAAACATTGAAAAACATGCATGCTCAACGAAATTTGATGTAGAAATTTTTAAAAATCTTTGATGTAAGTAAGATTATCTTTTCTTAATTGATTGACTACTGGGTTGAATGAGTTTCTTATCGCAACAACTACTTTGTCTTCTACATGATTTTTTTTTAGTATCAGTTTGAAACTGATGGTACTAAACTAGTTGGTAGCAGCATTAGGAAGAAGTTTTAGCATCTTTACAATGTGACATAAACCACTTTTTTAATTTTATATTATTAAAAAAAATTTTACGTTTTTAATAGTTATTCGGCGCGGAAAAGAGGAACGGGCGAGCCAACCAAATTCAAATTCTGGCTTAGTCTGTTTTGTTGCGTTCATTTTCGCACTTATGTCATTTGGGAAAATTATGAATTCATCATATCCCCCTCCCCAGTAATGACTTAACAGGGTAGACTGGGCTCACTAGCCTTGGGTGGCAGTCAGAGAAGGACTACTTTGAATTCAAAACTGCGGCGAAGGCAACCATTCCATTACGTTTCCCCAAGAAGTCAGCAATTCATTCACAGATAATAAAGAAAAGGAAACTGTGGAGAGCCATAATCGCTTACGCCCAGAATGGACATAAAACAAAATGAAAATTATTATCGTTGACAAAATTGTTAAGTTTACTTATTTTCAAGATCGCTTTACCGGAGTAAAGTTTAATTTTATTGAAAATCCAATATTTTTTAATGTTGCCCATTTACAAGGAGAGAGAAAGAATTAATTTTTAAAATAGTTATTTTTTTGCTACATGACCGCGCATGTGTGCTAGGATCTTTTTTTTGTAAGATTGTCCTTCGTGGAGAGCATATTTATTTTACTGTGTTTAATTTTTTATCTATAAAAAATATTTTCATTGAGTTTCTTTTTTTTTTTTTTTTTTTTTTTTTTTGGTTATTTGTTGTTGCTGATTTAACTAGGACATTTGTTTTGTTTGTTTTTTAACCTTCCTAGAACTTGAAATTGATATGCTG